CTTCAAACAATGGTGGTCTTTGGAGATGTTCCCTATTGGTTTTTGTAACTGGTGGTATCAATCCCTTTAGTTTTGTTCTTCTTCATTGACGGTATATTCAGCGATATTTCCACTAAGGTTTTGTTGCAACTGTTCTGTGAAAAGATTTGTTTATTATATTTTATATTTTCATTATTTATTTGTAAAATTTTAACCAGTCTTGTATCTGATCTGTATTTTGTAATTGTAAATTATTTTATTATTAAAGAGACATGTTTGTTATTTTAACCTTGTACTATGAATTCTTGTTTCTGCGATTTCTCCATATGTATGTGGGATGTATCTTTACATCGAAGCATTGGAGTTCACTGTTTTTCCGATATGTTCCGATATGTTATGGTAAAAGTAGTTTATATCTTCATTGATGTGTTACGGATATTAGTAAAATTCTTTTTTCTTGAGGTATGGTCAGTATATTTTTGCATATAGGCCATATTTTAATTTCTTCTAAAACTGTAGATGTTGTAGTTTCTTATCCAATGTGTTTTAGTTTGCAGACGATGTGTAATTTCAATTTTAAATATTTGTAGTGGTGTTAGATGTAAGAATGCTTTGTAGATTTTTATATGTGGCCTGAAAGAAAATTAAAAAGGTTTTAAAAAAATGAGACCATTGTAAAGGTAAGAGATACCTATAAATGTTAAGTTGATTTTGTTATTTTTTAGTATATTAAACAATTATTACAATTTAATGCTCAAGATTGTCATTAATATTGATATTAAATTAAATTAAAAAAAGATTAATTAAATATTTTTTAATAATAATTTTGTGTTTTGGTTAATATTAGTGCAAGGCCCAGTACTTTGAGTCTCGGTGAAAATTTGATTAACTGATCAGGTGATTAGAATGTACATATACCGATTTATTTTATAAAGTATAATCACAATGATGATTAGTTAATCCAGCTTCAATTGAGACTCAAAATACCAGACCTAAATATAATAAAATGTAAATGCAGTAACTTACGATATCAAAATTGTGAAAGAAGACCGCAATTCTTATAGTCCTGTGTATCCAAGAGGTCTGGGAGTAGATAATGGTGATTAAATTATTAGATTGGTATTAAGTAGTAAATAGTAATAAAGTAATTACAATGTGTTTGTACAAATTTG